ATATGTAATTGTTTTCACTTTGGGCCCTTATTTGTAATTATTTTCATTTTTCGGGCCCTTATATGTAAATTCCCCTAAATTTTATTTGTAAGCTTAATTAACGGTTTTGTATGAGATTGTTCATGCGTTTTACACAATTATAATCAATATTCACATACCATCCAACAAAGTTGCTGAATTTACATAATAAAATCCTCTTTTGCCAATTTTTTTAACATTATATATCATATAAGCGCGAAATAATACCCCTACGCGCTATTTCGAACACACTCATGTGCGCTATTTCCAAATCCAATACAATAAACCTTTCTTAACTGCACGTTTTTGGGTAAAAGTACATTTATAGAATATTCATTTATGGAGCATAATCTACATATAACTACAACATTAAATAATTATATTAGACCGATCAAATCATTATAGGGAAGAGAGTGCGAATATGGAGTATTGATTGTATATCATTTATTGCAACAATAAATTTGCTCATGTCGAGAACATTAAGTTATTTTTGAAGGATCCGATTTTAAAAATGCGCTTATTCGGTAATTTACTGAATGAAATCTGATTAGTATATGAAATTCTCTGATGCAAACATATTTTTGATTGTTTGATACGTAAAACTTTGGTATGCATTATATAAATTCGCGTAGACGGATATCGGGATTAGAGATAGACATATACATTAAATTTAGCTTTCAGCGCAATTTGCAATTTATAATGCTAGGCTGGATTTAGAAAATAGGATAAAATACGAGCAATGTGAACAAAAATTTGAGTAGATCTCCGTAAAAATAAAATACAGTATAGTACAAATATGGATATCTCGTATTCAATGCGCAGGTTGCATTACCTGCGCATTGCAGCAATGCTCATTGCAACTCTTGTCTATACCTATTAATATTTGTTGATTCTTGATGTAGCTGAGACTTTTGTTGTTAAATGACCTAAATAAAAGTCGTAAATGACCTTTCGAATGACCTGAAATGACTCATATATTGAATTTAATAATGACTCAAATGGCTTGACAAGTTTGACATTTTAGTAATTATTGATTGGAATAACAAGTAATCGCATACGTACGTTGTAGAAGTCTCCTGGAGTACCGTTCAACACATTTTCCTTCTCTTTTTACTACTTCTATATTGGTTATTTCATTTCCATTTATTGAAGTTCAGCGTAAAAATATATTTTTAACTTGCGAATAAGTATTGATATATTAAAAGTCCAAAAATAAAGGGAAATCCTTACAGCAGACTTATCGCCTAACGAATTTAATACTGAATATAAAGTGATACTTACTCATTGAGTTTGTCCTATAAAAATGTGAATCTCTGGTAGTCTTCTCCTTTACTATAAAATTTTGAACCATGATTTTCTGTAATAACAACCTCGATTAGAGTATTGTGATTTGCGTCACCACATCGTAAGATCAAATCGTGATTTCATGACACGTAATACACGTAATAGAGAATCGTGACCCGAATTTGAAGCCCTGGTATACTAATATATAGAATATAGTATTGTAGTAGTCGTAGTAATTTGTATACATTATGGTAAGAGAAAGAAAAAATAGATAATTTAATAAAATAATACAGAACACTTAGTGTAAGACCCGTGACTGCCTCAGTAAACCTGAAACACCTTAATTCTTGGACTAAGCTCTCCACGCCTCTTTCGAAGCCTAACACATTTTAGAGTGAATAAGATATTGTGTTATTTGAACGTTTGACTGTTCGTTTTACCCATTATTACATTTATGAGCCCCGTCCTCCTTCATATTAATTACCACTTTTTCAACATATGTACCTCGTTTATTTGTTATATATTTTCATAATAGAGTCAGTTCTAAGCCCTGAAAAATGATGATTTCTCTTAATAGAACTCATTTTAAATTTTTCTAACGAATGTATCTTTATTGGTGAAAAAAAATTTTTATTATACAAGTGAAACTATTCATGGTCTCCTAATTAGCCACAATGTAACTGGATTAAATGTCAAAAAATTGGGTGTTTAGCGAAGGCAGGGACAATGCTTTTCTGCGATGACAAAATGCCAATTCTGTCCGTGATAAAAGATGACTTTGCAAAAATTTTGCGATTGGCCAGAATTACGTGAAGTCGGCCAGCATTATAATACGCAAATTTTGGTCAAATTAATGTCAGCCAGCATTATTATGACTTTGACCCTAAATCCAAACCAAGATTTAAAAATCACATGAACCATTTCCGTGAACGCAGAAAATCATCGTCCCTGAGCAAAGGCCATAAGTATCGTAAATATTATACTTTTATAACTTTTTTAAAATTAAACAAATCCCACTGAACACTTTTACATAACCACAAAAAAGAGGTGATACAAAATCATTATATACTTTACGTTAATGAATTTATAATTTATTTTTATGTTACTTAATATTCCATTTATGATATAGACCATAATAGTATAGTAACCACTGTAACCTCTGTATAAAAAAACTAGTACTATTTCATACTAGTCACTTTTTCTACGTCTAATAATAACATTATTTAACAACCACATCATATTTTGACATTAAAGAAATATCATGCTGACTATAGCTCAGCCTTTTTTATTTTTATAGATCTCTCCTTCACCTTTCATCAAGATTCGACAATTTTTTTTTCGCTTCGTTTAACAAAAAAACCGAGAATATAATAATCAGAAGCAACTTTAATTATAAACAGAAAAATTTAACCTTTATACACGTAATATAGTAGGGATTAATTTTTTTATAAAATTGAAGAACCAAAATAAGATCTTTTAATCGAATATCCATTTGATATAATAGTTAACAGATAAGAAATATACAAATATAATATAGATACATATATTTGAACATATATTTTAATTTGACAAATATTACAATGAAATCATATATACTAGACTCCACATTACAATCCACAAACTAAGCACGATATTTATTAAACCATTTCTATCTTTAAAATTAGTACCCACATCACTAGAAGTTCCTATAAAAGAATCTTCTACAGGTACTATACCAGTTACAGTTTGCAACACAACGGAAGTGGTTGGTGGATAATATGTGGAGTAAGTCATTAATACACCGTTACTTAAAGTAGTTATAGTTGTCACATATCCTGGATATATTTCAGTGATAGTTTGTATAAATGTTGTAATGGTGTATTTTGATATTTTTTTATCAGTAGCTGCTGAAATAGTTTCTGTTGTACCATATGTCGCTGTACATGTAGTTAATATCCCAGTGACCGATGTTCTAGCACTATTCAGAAATTTAATAAAAAATTTTTAATTGTGTTACATATATTATAAAAATTAAATTTTAAAATACACACATAATCTGACAATTATTTGTATTGGGGCATACATCAATAACTGTTGACATTTCAGTTGGTAGTGTAGCTACTGATGTAGGCTTAACAGCTGACAAGGGAGTCGCTGTCGTTGTCGTTACTACAGAAGTTACCGGAACTTGCGCTGTTATGGCATTAGCTACAGGTGTTGCAAGAGCTACAAAAGTTGTAGAAGTCGAAGAATTTGCAGAAGTTGAAGAAATTGCAGAAGTTGAAGAAGCTTGTGTTGTTACTGTAGTTGTCGGCACTGTTTGACTAAAGCTGTACCTTACAAAAATTACTACGAAAAATAATATAATGGTCGTTAGATTCCTGTTTAAATGCATATTAGTTATCATCATTAATTAGCAGCTAATATTTATAAAATCCTAAAATTCATTACTAATCCTCAAACTATTCTTGACTATAATCAACTCTCTCTATGCGAACTGATTGCTCTGGGGACTGATTGTTCTGAAAGAAAAAGAAATTCGTAATACGTGTAAATTGCTATCTTTTCTTAAGAACTCATTAATAACCAGAAATTGTTATAGAGAATATCCCAGGGATCGATTTAGAGAGAGCTGATGGTATATTTGGATTTCATACGTAGCAGTATTTATAAGTTTTTCTTTGGAGATCGTATCTTTACACAACGATTATAGTGACTTAATGTTTACTTGCACAAAAATTGTGCTTAATTTCATGAGAAACATAAATCATTAAAATATTACTTTTTTTGGTAACATTAGTCAGAATTTTGACACAAAACAATTTAATTCAATATAATTGAGACCAGATCTTTAAATTAATAATACAACGGTATAATAGTAATCACATAATAGCAATTATATAATAACGATCATAAAGCGGAAGATACTACGCATACACCAAGCTAATTTCATGAACTGGAAATATAAGAAGCAAGTCAAAAGAAAATTAACAAAGCTGCTTAAATATTTCAAGAAAATCGTAGCAATGACAAAACTGTATATAAAAGATTGAGCTCATTCTCCAATTCTTATATATTAGTTTTTCATGCTCATATTCGGATAATCCGTATCTTTATTTTTATTTATTTATTTATTTTAAATTTTTTTTAAAAAAAACTGTTTTGAATTGTTAACGAAAAGTGAAAGTTATTGGCATAGGAAAAAATATATATAATTTTAATTAATTTTAAAAACAGTATAGAGGAATAACTCAGTTATTATCCGAGAAATTAGCACACCTAAAATCGACTAGGACTCCACGGATCTTACAGTATTAGGCTGATAAGGTAGTGAATGATGGTAGAATATTATAATAAAAATATTTAGGAATTAGAAGTTTAAATAGATTACTATATGATTTTAATGAGTTTTTCGTAACGAACTTCATATATAATAAACTATATAGCCTTTTAAATTTAAATAATCTAAATATAGGACTTCTATATTGTATATTGGATTAGGAATTCGCCTGATTCGAAATTCGACTGTCTTAATTCCGAATTAGATATCCTGTTTCAGAATACTTGGGTTAGTAACCTTAAGAATATAGTATATACAGTAATTAATTAATTTGCTAACCTAAGTTGGATTTCTAAAGTAGAATAACATGATTCAGAATTAAGGCGGCAAGATTTTAAATACGACATTATGCCACCTTTAAGTAAATTCACATATCGATTAGAAGCGATTACCCCTTGGAAACATTAACGATAAGGTTATTTTAAGAGCAACAATACTCTGTTACCCATTAATATACAAGAAAATTGGGTTGCTAGAGCTGAAGGGAGAGAAAATGAAAATACTACATGAAATTTCCAAAATATGCAGTTCCTGGTTCAACACATCCTAAACCCATCCTGTTTTGTGTTCAGTATCTGGAAATTGAACGTAAATTTATACTAATATTTTAGCATTGAATGTTTGTCCACTTTCCGCATATTTGTCATAGCGGTATCACACAGAATTTTCACATGGACATTTGTGTCATATTTATGGGTGTAAAATTTACGTAATTTCCGTAAATTAATTTTTCATGTAATTTGTAATTCTAGATCGAATTTTCGGTGATTTGAGGGTTACAATTCGGATCATAGATTTAAATTAAATGATGTATAATGTTGGCCGATCTTTTGTAAAGCTACATATAACATGACAAAAAATTACACAAAGCCTTATTAACTGAAAATTACGTAAAATTACATGTATTGTAAATTGTAATTTATGTAACACAACATTAATCATATTAATAAAGTTTCGTATAACATTTACTACTATTACTATTACTATATTCAGTAGGTTAACTTATCACGGTTAATTATGAGGTCTCAGCTATTACTATTACTATTACTATTCATAATAATTCATAACCGTAAAAACCGAAATCTCCGAGTTATAGTTTAGCATACTACAAAACGGGGACACAGTTAACCCAGTGATCGACGATCACATGATAAACATATAATGACGTCATTTGTTTACCAGAATTAAAACAAACTGGCCTAAATATACCCTTAAACTAGGCCGAACACTTGTCATGTGATGTGATGATCGCTGGGCAAAACGTAGATATGGGGTTATGATTAAAATTTAATGAAAGGAAAATCATTTAGTCCTCATTATTTATTCTCTAAGTTTTAAATATATCAGCATCAGTTCAAATGTAAATTTAGTAAACTTAGAATTACGGGTAATGAAAATGAAACTTGTAATTAATCGAAATCATGTGATTTTGATAAATACTTCTAGAGATATCATTGTTTAACCTAAATAAGCTGCGCAAACCAACCATTTTTAATGATTTTGCCATCAAAATGACCGCCTTGAAGAGATAATTCCAACGAGTCCAAAATTGTCAAAATCCGATCACAGTATCACGAGATTGTCAAGGTTTTCTTATTTTTTGATGAAAATAGATACTGTAGTTAACTACTAATTTTCATCAAAAACAATACAAAAATCTTATCGATCTCGTGATACCGTGACAGGATTTTGACGATTTTGGGTTCTTTGGAATCGTCTCTTCAAGGCGGTCATTTTGGTAGTAAAATAATCGAAAATGACGGGCCCATCAGAAGTTATACACTATCTGATGTTAATTTTAAAATTTGGTCTGCGCAGTTTATCTTGGTTAAATGATGATTTCTCGAGAAGTAACGACCAGAATCGCGTGATTTTGATATTACTTGATTCGTCTCGATGAGACTAACCAAAATTGATCAATAGATCACGAAATATAGTGTGTGCGCCATAATTGGTACCTGCACCACAATTCGTCTTTTTTTATCTTAAATTTTTAATTATTGCGCTTTGCAAAAAGATTTGAACACTGCAAATCATTTTTCCATGTGAGAATCGGAGATTTTATAGATTTTTGAGATTTTAAGAATTGAACTGATTTCAAAGAAATATAAACGTAACCAATCGAAAATATAAAGTAACGGACAATCTGGAATCTTAGTAATTCTTAGCCATCATCATCACTAAAATCACATATTTACATCTTTTTGCAAAGCGCTATAACATATTTCATATGATCTAGTGATTGGAATTAGATGATTTTGGCACCATTTGATTCATCTTGATAAGACGAATCGAATAATGCTAAAATTAGTCTATTCTGATCGATAGACCACATGTTATTGGCTAAAATACTCACTTGCGCTATAATACCCATACTCACCTATCAATCGATCGTCAAATTTATTGTTTTATTCGAAATTATCAGATCAGTATGGTATCAATCCAACATCCCTTAACAGTTCCGAACTAAGGCGTTATCTTGCACTAAGATATACATTAAGTATTATTCCTCTGAATTAACTGCGAAATTAGATCAACATTACAATAAGAAAGAAACTTTGCAATTTACATAGCGCTTTCAGAGAGTCGACTTCGTAATGTTTCACTGAGTCTGGTCCTTGCACTACATCAATTGCAGCAGTGGTCATTTCGCTATTCTAAACCACTGAGCCACTTAACAAAGAAAAGGACGGGCGGGTAGGGAGCCAACCTTACTAAGGCGAGCGATTAATCGTTTTTAATAACTCTTAATTCGCTTAATCACTCCTATCCTTTCCTGCTTGTTACAATATGTAAAATCATACTCCTTAACTAATATAATACTCCTTAACCAACTTTATTATTGCCCATTGCCAGTTTATTGACATTTTAAGAATAACAAGATTATCATATGCGATCATGAATTTACCCCATAATAGCTATATCTGACAAGATTCTAAAAAACATTATGAATATACACACAAAAGGCTAAAAACTGATTTACAAATAATCCGCAATAAAGTCTCTTGATCTCGCTATAATGATTATTCGTTGACAAGCCGATCAATAAATATGCTTTGTAAAATTATTTGTGCAAAAATTGATTTCTTAATAAGATCTTGTTAGTTATACACTTGCTTCTGAAAATTGAACTTACAATACGTATATACGTATGCACCAAAGTTTTTTTTTCAAATAGTCTCAACAATTATTGATTGTAACATGAATTCTGATTATTCGTTAATAACTACGCTAAAATGGCTCCAAAATAGCAGATGTGCGATAAAAATATATATTAGTTTCCTAATTATTATATTATTAATATATTTAAGCTTCTGGCTTCGGCCATTTTTTGATAATTTAAATTTGCAAAAACCATTTAAATCCCCTAATCGCACACTTGGCTTTGACCATATTTACATTATCCATCTTGACTATCGAGCGGATAGGCGTGAAAGGTTAGATGAAATGGCATACTATCTTGGTTTAGACTTTGATTATTTTTCAGCCATTTCTAAAAACGATGAACAAATTCTCCGCAAGTATGGATCCGCAGATATGAGCCCTTCTCAAAAAGCTTGTTATTTAAGTCATTATTTCATCTATAAAGAAATAATTGATAAGGGTTATAATAGTGCGCTAATTTTAGAAGATGATGTGGACTTTGAGCTTAACATCACTGCTATTATGGCTGACATTCATCGTGATTTACCTGCTTCTTGGGAAACATTATACATAGGTCATTGCTTTGAACCTGTTGGTGAGCAAGTAGGAAGAAGTGCTTCTGTCCATAGATTGTATAAGTCTGTAGCTCCAATGTGTATGCATGCTTATGCTGTTTCATATTCTGGAGTCCGTAAATTAATAGAACTGCTTAATCCTATGATTCCGCGTGGAACAGTTGATTTTTCTCTTAGTGTAGTAGTCAAAGATGAGAAAGTCAAATCATTTGATGTTCACCCACCTGCCATCTCGCAATGGAAAGCGGCTGACAACCCATCTGATATTCCTACATCACAAGTATTATCCTTTAGTTTATTAAATTCAACTTTACATTTTCTTGGGCATATAATAGCCATTAGCATAAAATATCTTTTTTTTTTTTTAACAAAACTATTCACAGGTAAAAGTAATATATATTCCTTAAAAATATATTAAAAAATATATTAAAAAAAACATAGTAAATATATTTAAATATTTTTATTATATTTTTACTAGATAATATATAATGTATTTATATTACTATAATAATATATTTTTAATAACTAGTATCAATTATAACTTACTAACATGAAATTCTGCCTTCAGCACAGGAGCAAAGAATTGGTTATGACCCGCTTGTAAACGAAGTCACAAGGCGGTACATTATTGCGAGTCACTGGATCTTTCATGTGACTAGGGTCACGGGACAGATCCATGACGAAATAGGGATATTTGAGTAACTCGATGATCTGATCTGTCCCTTTGTTCTTGAATTTTTCTGCTTGACTTTGTGTCTAGCAACCCCCCCCCACCTTGCCCAAAAAAAAAAAAAAGAAGAGAAAAACCTATACTCGGAAAGTCTGCTCACGTGACCCACAACGGCTTGTTTTGGTGACCTATCCCATACTGTACTACAAGTTTTCAGGCACAGATGTATTGTTAGCCACGGAAGTTGTTCGTTCCACATGGAAGGAATGACTTCCATGACGAGCAATAATAATGAATAATCAGATATTTTATAATTTCACCAACAGAGGTTAAACCCTGATATTTCAATGTCTTGAAAAAATCCAAAACTATAGAGTCTTGAGTAGCATGGTCTCAAAAAGTCAATAAAATATTAATATTCCCGAATAATAATTGCTTATAATATATAATGAAATTTATATTAAAATTTTTTTTTGAAACTTTGAATGAAGGCATCTTAACAACTATCAAATTAAACTTGATGAACTTTTTGTTATTTGAATTTTATTAGGGTCTGAAAATACCGACCCGGGCGGGTCAGGTATTGACTCGGGTTATAACCCGGGTCAACGGGTCAGACAAAAATTCATAAAGTTTTTAAAGTTAATCCTTAAAGTTGAAGTAACGACTCTTAATTAGAGCTGTTAGTATAGAGAACAGCCTATACTCAAAATATTTAAACTGAAATTTTTCAGATTTTTGTATTGAAAATATTTCATCTTGCTCGTGATTTGAGTTCGTTCATTTTCTACCTCTGGAAATACGTGACCCCTAAGAAGCTGACCCGCACAGGTCAGACGACCCGGGTGAGCTTTACTATTTAGTAAATTATAATACCTTCTACCCATATAGTTATATTAGTAAATTGCGTAAGCATTTTAGTAGGGTTTTGCATATTTTGAATTCTGACCTGTTTGACCCGTGTTAGGGCAATTTTCAACCCGTGACCTGGGTAATAGCTCTAAATATTATGAACTGTATTGTATAATTCAAATAAAAAGTTTATTAAATTTGACTTGGTAGTTATTGAGATAGCTTAACTCAAAGTTTTATAAAACTCAAAACGTCTATCAAAAATACTGCGCTAAAATTTTCTAAACTTTGAGAGAAGATATCTCGACAACCACCGAGTCATATTTTTTTATTTAAATTATATTACAGTAATATGTAGATTTTTTTTTTTAAAAAAAAGAGAAGTTTATCAAATTTGACTTAGTAATTAGGCCATTTGAAGTTAATTCTTCGGTTAATATCACCTTCTAGGATGTTTTGAAGGGAGGGAGAGGGGAGGAATGAAACGAACAAATAAAATGAACAATCGATTTTTAGAGTTGTAAATCTATTATAACAAGTTAACTTTTGGTTAAAATTTGGTCTATGGGTTTTAGTTGAGTTGCTTAAAGTTAATTATCTAGTTAATATTAATATTTTTTATCTTGAGTGAGAAGAGAATACAAATTTTATTATGCAGAATATTAAAGTTGGTTTTCAGATTATCCTAAAATAATAATAATTGTTTTCAGATGTCCTAAAATTCCTAAATTGTCTCAAATTATCCTAAATTGTACTAATGCGCACTAATGATTGATGTAAATGCACTTTGGAACATACTTTGTTCAAGCTGCATATCTACAAAGTTTATTATATTGATTAAATTGGTAACAGTAAAGCAAGTTATGTTATATTTCAGTCATGGGTGATGATGGAATAATTATGGTTGGTCATTAATTTAAAAAAGAAATCGGCATTAAATAGAATAAATACAACACAAAACATTCGAATATTATCAAATTTTGATATAATTTAAACTTTACAAAGATTACATGATAATTGATAGTCATCTAACTATAATTTGATTTTTATTTTAATTCCGCTAGTATCAATACAAAATAAATTTTTTGTGCATATCAGATTATAAAGTTTATCTAGAATCAAATTTAGTGAAGAACAGGTATTGTATTTGGAGATATTAAAATTAGTAAATCAATATACTGTGCATAGTTATATTTATTCTATAATATCCAAATCTTAATTATGGAGGTATTTTGTTTTGAGAATACTGTCAACGATGATCTATTTTAATTAATCTCTGATTCCTCACTTCCCCATTTCTCAGATAATTATTTCAAAATCAAGACCATTTTACATAATTGTAAAAAAATAAATAATTGCCTATCACTGATTATTTCAATTAACATAATTTAGGGTTTGAAATGAAATAATTGACATTTTGAATTCAATGTTCGCATTGCTAATTGACTAGTTAATTTTTCAAAATGAAGAAATAAAATATGGCTTTTATTTGCTTTAATTTTAATAGTAGTTAAGTAAAAAATTTGTAGTTATTATGTGCCAATAAGGATATAAGTCATGTGTTTGCTTTACCAATAAAGTTTTCTTTTTTCGAATACAAAGTTTTGTTTTAAAAGCTATCCTAATTATTTGTCCAAAAATCCTAAAATCTGAAAAACCCTTCCTGCCCACTTTACAGAATATATAAGTTAATTTATAATATATTAATAGTTATTTAATTTTTAAAAAAATAATTAAACAATAAAATCAAAATTTTAATTTTAATTTATTTTGCCAATTATCGATTGCCACTTTATTTGCCATTTTTTTAAAAAAGCATAAAAACTTAGATATATAAATACTTAAAATTTTATCATAATTATATAAATTTCAAGCATATAAATAAAGAGAATTACTAATTTTCACCGGGGGTAAAATCACCGGAGGTGCTATATCTCAAAAACGTACTAAGTAAACTGGATCGGGTACTCTAAGTAAAAATGTTCAGAACCCCGGAAAACCTCACGAGAACTAAAATCGGGACTTTATCTCTACTTTATATTATATTATATAAAAAAAAAAAAAATTCTAAACCCGCACCCTAACCCTAAAAATAATTAGGGGAGGTAATTTTACCGCCGGTGAAATGTAGTTATTTTCATAAATAAAACATAAAATATTTAACTATATTTAAAAATGTATTTTGCATATAAAATTTAAGCATAATTTTTTTTTAAAAAAATAAATCGTTAAGCTTATATTCTATTGAATATTATAATCTTAATAAGTTTTTTTTTTTTTAAACGATTTAGGAGATCGAGTTTCCCAGTTTTTTCCTTCAATTTGACACAATGCACAAAGTGGATAAATTGATTTCCAATTTTCTTGTATTTCAGAAGGAATTTCGAGTAATTCATCTTCTGAGCCACACCAAAAACATAAATCTATATCTTTAAGTCTACAAAAATAGTAATTATACTCAATTGGTGAATTGCAAGTTAAGTTAAGACGTAAAAAAAGAGTATTAGCAAGAAAATGATTATCTGAAACAATTGGTAATCTACAACTATATATAATATTATCAAAATGTTGAGTAATAGCTTCCATTTCAACATCATTTAATATAGTTTTAGAATATATGCAACAATACTTTTCACAAAAGTCACAAGCAACTAACAATCAAATAAAATTATTTACAAAAATTCCTGCAGAAGTTTCTTCAGATTTTAATTTTTTAATTGAAGGTTTAAATTGCTCTGTTGTTTCTTGTTGATATATATCATCAAATTCTTTATAATGTTGGTTATCTAATAAAATAATATAATATTTAATTAATTATAAAATATTAAATAGTAAAAAACATTTTGTTGCTTTTAATCAAAGCTACAATTTTGTTAAAACAGATGTTTTATTTTCTTATCTTATAATTTACCTGATGACATTTCTGGATCTGGAAAAAATGTTAATAATTCAAATTCATTATCTGGCATTCTAATTGGTTTACAGAAACAACAATCTAAATTTCTATATTTTTGATTTGAAATATATATGATCTAATTTGACAATGAGTATTAAGAAATTCTTGATATAATTGTTGTTTTTTAAGAGCATTATTAGTAGTTATAAATTTTTTAAAAGTAGGATTAATTGTTAAAATATTCTATAGATTTTTAATTAATAAAATTTAAGTTAAATATTAATTAAATAAAATTTAAAGTTCTACTATAGTAAATTTTAATAATATTATATACTTACATTAAACAATTCATCAATATCAGAATTTGTAGCAGAACTTCTAGTTATAAAAGTATTATCATTAAGTTTTAAATATTCTGTTCGAATATTTAAAAGTGTTTGAATATTTGAAATTGAATTTTGTAATTCATTTTTTAAACTAGGTAAATTTTCAGCCTCATTGCGAATTTCTTCTAAAGTTTTAAGAGAAGCAAAAGTTTCTTCAGATAAACTACTCATAGAATCTCGTTGTAAAGAAACATTTTGTAATGAAAGATTTAAAATTGACATTATTCTTTCAGCTGGATTAGTCCAACTATGATAAGGTGCTGTATGTGCTGCTATTAATATATCAAAATTTCCTTGTAAAAATAAACAAATAAGTGAAATCTGAACTGATCCATAAGTACATCTATGATCTGGCCCACCATCAGTATATAGAGCTAAAATTCAGGTAAATCTTCATCATAATAATCATTTAAAATTTGATAAAATTCAGTAGTATTTCTAAGTGCTGTACTAGGTTGAAATATAGTATCTTTGTATATTACATATACCTGACCATTTTAAAATGACTCTTGGATCATTAGGTATTGTAGCTATAATTGTTAC